TCCTGATAAAATCGTATCACTGCTTCTTTTCCAAGCCTTCAAATCTTGCGGTTTGAATCAAAAGCTGACTTAATGCCAATGCAGAGCCTATGAAGGGGCAGAGGTGTCACAAAAGGAAGAGTGTGTGAAACTGTTTTTCTACCCAGCCATAGGTTATTTATATTCATTAATATAATGTTGCAATTGTAATCCCCAAACCTGCCTCAGTAATGATTTTCCATCAGAAAAGAGCAGCTTTTGCTAGGAAAAGAACTGGGTATGTACAGTATGTACTAGGGGTGCACCAAATGGGAAATTCTTGGCCGAAACCGATACCGAAAATAGGAAACAGTTGGCCGAAAACCGAATGCCGAAAGGCCGAAAATGATTAATAGAAGTATATATATATATAGAAATATATAGAAATATATATATATAGAAATATATATATATAGAGATATATATATATAATGTATACATTTTTTACCAATGTTGTTCAGCTACCTGATTATGGAAAAAGACATGATTATGGCAAAACTTAACTTAAATAATAATCACTATTATGGGTCCATAAAACATTTATTCAGCACTTTTGAATGCATACAGTACATTAATTCCAAGTCAAGTGCATTTTCTTTTCTCTGTAGGATAACTACAACAAAGTGCATTCAGAACAAACCCAAGGTGCTTTAAAACTGCATAAACATCTAGGCCAGTAGGCCTACAACAAAATAGTGTAAATAAAGACTGTAACAGCCAGGCCTTCAACAACAACAAATGCACCTATAAGTTTTGGTAACCTAACGTGTTGTTGTGATGACGTAATCAAAACGCGGCGACAAGCACGGCGCGGCGGCGGCGACCATGCTCGCGGCTGGCTCACAGCCAACATGTCTGCCGCTTGGAGATATTTCAAAATATCAGAGAGAGAGGCGCGGATTGCGATTTGTAAAACGTGTTCAGCTGACATTTCTCGAGGGGGTGTAACTGCGAAGACTTTCACCACTTCGGGATTACTCCACCACTTGAAATCAAAACACCCGGACAAATACGCGGAGTATGATCAACGTAACCCTGTTCTCTGACATTTGGTGATATTTTTTCGAAAGCCGAAAGGGCCTTTTTAACCATTTTCGGCCGATAATTTTCGGTGGCCGAGTATTCGGTGCATCCCTAGTATGTACCAATGTTAGTTATATTTGAATCAGAAACTCCCATCCATGCCTTTCTTTTTCCTATGGCGATGTCATTTGAAACCAGTATCAAATATAGACCGTGTATGTTAATAAACAAAACTATTAAATCAAATGTAGCTCCCAGAAAGGTTTTCCTCTTCCAAATGTATTTTTTGTCACAAGTGCCCTGGATCAAACAATCATTATATTTGGAGATGAAAGATGCCAGTGTATAGGAGATGGTGTTGTTTTGCACATTACAAAGCTGTTATATGGACATATTCATCTCTGAGGGAACAGGACATGACGTGCCCCTGTGGCGCTTCTTTTTCATGCCCCTCAACCAAAAACTAAACAGGGTGAAAGCCAGCTGCCTGTGGATGAACAGTTTGTCAAATTATTTCTGATAATGATGCGTTTAAACCAGCGTAGACAAAGTCCTGCAGCTTTTTTATTGTTACCGATGCAATGGAAGGATGGACAGTATAATGGTTTTCCAATGTCTTGCCTCATACCAATGTTTACACATGAATGTAACCCGAGAACTGTTGAAACATTTTAGCCAAACAACTTGAATAAATATTAATATCTGCATTTTGTGCTCAGCACCTACTGATCTTTGTCTTTTTTTTTTTTTGAGCATTTGGAGAATCTTTCATTTTGATGTTTTCTATGACGTTTTTTTCTTTTCTTTGTAATGATGTCAGGTCACATGTTGACCTGGCTATACCTGTGTATTGTTTGTCTTATTTCCAATAAAATGCATGATTATCATGAGCTGTTTTATTTTTTCCACATCAATTATACTGCAGCGAAAGATTATAGTGTTATTCAAAGTGGTGCTTACATAGTTTTCGGTGAAAGTTACTGCGCTCAGTTTTTAAAGAACTTACTACTGTTGGCACTCCTGTTTCACAAGTGTAAGTGATTTGTCAGTATATTTGAAATGACTAGGTTAGCTATTTTAGCTAGCTAGCTTACAGTAATAATGAGATCGGAAGACAGTGCCGCCCCTCCCTACACGCAGATCCCGCAGACTGCGTGGGGCCTCATCTTATGCGCAAATGCGGCACAATTACAAGCGCCACAGTTTCCCCGCAGCGAGGCTCCGGCGTTAACAGTTTATGCAGTGCTTTTAGGAAATGTTGTGTATGTTTTGTGTAGTTAGTGAAGCTGTTTCATCATTTGCCTGTGTTTTGGATATTTATGTTTTTATAATAATATTATATATGTATAGCATTTTTTTAGCGGTTGTGCCAAATTTTCACCGGTTTGCCACTGTCGTAATATTATAAAAACTATCTTTAACTCAAGTACATTTACATGACAGCAGTAGCAACTTTACACATTTCAATTTGACATGCAAATCATTTGATCAGAGTAGTCAAACCTAGCTGTGTTACGGGTGTACAAGGAGTGGACCCAAAAGCACCAAGGCAGACACAAGATTCAAGTACAATAAAAAGTCTTTACTTGAAAAAGCAGAAACAGTACAAAAATATATACAATAAAGAATCTACACTAATGTTTACCTAAATAATAACTAGAAAAATACTTCTACCTGATCTTACCTTACTATAACTAAATCTACGGACAATGACTATAACTTAGATACTTAGATGCAAATTGGATAACGCTGGAGAGTTTGGCAAAAGACACAAGACAATCTGGCAACAAACAAAGGAAGACAGGACACTATACAAGAAGGAAGTGGGCACAGGTGGAAACAATCAGGGGCGGGGCAGACACTGATGATGGCGGGAAAACAACCAAGGCAGGAAGAAAAGGAATCAGGAACGAGACAAGGTGAATACAAAATAAAACAGGAAGTAACATAAATAACTAAACTAACAAAAAGCATTTAACACAGTTGCCGACCCACAACAAGCTGCTCATTCATCTTCTACAATATAAAATAAAATGACAGGCTTACATTCAATAAAAAAATTGACACTTCCCATGAAAAATTATAAATAATGCTGTTTTATAGTTTGGAAACTATTTGCTAACAAGTTGGCAATAATGTTGTTTTAACAGCTTTTTGTTGCTCCTATAAGTGGACAAAAAAATAAGTTATCGCAGGGTTAAAGGAAGTAAAAATGGTGTAAAAGGAGTAACTTGGACTGCTTGGAACGCATACTTTGGAAATGTCCGACACATAAATAAAAAAATATTGGTACTGATGAACATTTTTAATTAAATGAAAAATATTTTAAATCCAGTCAACTAAATCAGATAATCAAGATTAACCTAGGTCAAATAAAAAGCTGATTAATCTATTTAAGTGTCTAATTCTTCATCAGCCCAGATTCTCCTCTTGGCAGTCACCAGCCAAAGCTCCAACCTCCCAGACCCTTCCTCCAACAGAAGCCCATTGCCTCCCCCCCCCCCCTCTCTGGCCTTCTCTTTCTTTCTTTGCAAAGGCAAGAACATACGGCAAATTAGGTTTTAGAGGCCTGGCTGCCACAGCCACTGCACTACTAATTGTATGTCTCCAGATATTCTGCTCTACTTCCTTAATCCTTAAAGCTGTGTCAGGGTTTTTCTCCCTTGGGAACAACATTTAGCGCGGCTGCTGGTGCACGTCAGCGCTTCTGCAGGTGTTCACATAAGCGGGCACACTTTGGTTGAATTGTTCCCTCTTAGTTTTATCAAGTTCAAATTCCCTATAGATGTCGTTCATTGCATTTAAATAAAAATATTCATGACATCACTGCAGGTTTTTTGGCTCTGGGCGGACAGTCTGGAGTGGACCTCCTTGAAGTAAGAAGGATGTGATTATTTGCTTGTGTAGACAAATACATATTTAGTATGACTTTTAAGGTATTTGCAGGGTGATGCGCTTTTAAGTGTAATTTGAACTGTCATTGATGATTTAGCACCCGCACGGCCCCAGTGTGAAAAATATGTATGAGGCTGTTCTGTGTGCATGTGCACTATAGCAGAGGCATTTACATATTTATTTACATATTCTGCACCTCCACATTGATACACCTTCATAACGTATGGGCTTTGAACAACAGGATAAGACAAAACATGCTTTGTCAGCAAATTAAATCCATGGATATGGTGGTACAGAAGTAGTTCTCAAAGCCCAGTTGAGAAGGGACAGTCCATCAATTGTTACTCAAGTACTGTAATCACTTAATTACGAATTTGAGCTATATGTATTTGAGTATTTAAATTCTTCACAATTCTACTCCACTGCATTGCAGATTATTACTGTTGCCGAAAAGTGCAAA